TATCGGCGATCCATCTCATGCTCTGGATTTCAGCACGGTTTAGTTGGATGGTGATTTGACTTATGATGTGGAGCCGGTGGCTATTTTGGGGCGTCAGGTTCGACACTTGAGGTCAAAGGATATAGCTTCATTGAAGGTGCAGTGGAGAGGTCAGCCCGTGGAGGAGGCTACTTGGGAGACCAAGCGGGAGATGTGGAGCAGATACCCACACCTATTCGAGGCTCCAGGTATGTTTCTAGACCCGTTCGAGGACGAATATTTTATTTGAGAGGGCAAGGATGTAACGACCCGGCCGGTCATTTTGAGAGTTGTAGCCTCGTTCCCTTACTTCTTGCTTCTTTTGTGTTCTAAAGCTATATTACGATATACCGGGTTAATTGTTTCGGGTCCGGAGTGGTCTCGAAGTGAATTGGGACACATAGTCTCATAATTGAAAGCTTAAGTTGGAAAAGTTAACTGGAAGTTGACTTATGTGTAAACGATATTGAATTTGAATTTTGATGGTTTCGTCAGCTCCGTTAGGTGATTTTGGACTTAAGAGCGCGTCCGGAATGTGATTTGGAGGTTCGTTGTAGAACTAGGCTTGAATTGGTGAAGGTTAGAATTTTGGCGATTTTGGCCGGCAATGGAAATTTCAATATCGGGGTCGGATTGAATTTTCGGAAGTTGGAGTAGGTTCGTGGTGTAATTTCTAACTTGTGTGCAAAATTTTAGGTTATTCGGACGAGGTTTGGTAGGTTTCGGCATCGTTTGTGGAATTTAGAAGTTTAGAAGTTCTTTAGGCTTGAATCCAGGTGTAATTTGGTTTTTTGATGTTGTTTTGAGTGATTCAAAGGTTCAACTAAGTTCTTATGATGTCATAGGACCTGTTGGTATGTTTGGTTGTGGTCCCGAGGGCCTTGGGGTGATTTCGGGTGGTGGACGGCTTGATTTGAGTTGAGGAAATACAACTGAAGTGTTGCTGCTGCTGGTGTAACCGCACCTGCGGATTGGGAACCGCAGGTACGAGCCCGCAGAAGTGACGAAAGGGTCGCAGATGCGACTAAGGAAAATCTGGGCAGAGGACGTAGGTGCGACGGAATTATCGCACCTGCAGTGGTCGCAGAAGGGGACTTCAGGGCGCAGGTGCAAGCTTGGACCGTAGGTGCGATGTGTCTTGCGCACCTGTGATGAGTGCAGATGCGGTCTCTTGATCGCAGAAGCGAAGGTGGCGTTTAAGTGATTCTCCGCAAAAATGGAGCTTGGTCAGCATATGCGGAAATTGAGCCGCATGTGCGAAAAACCTGGGCAGAGAATATAAAAACGGGACTTCGAGAATTTTCACCATTTTTAACATTTTGGACTCGGGCTAAGGCAATTTTTAAAAGGATTTTCGAGGGTAATTCTGAGGTAAGCTTCTTGTGCTCGATTTTGATCATACATCTCTTTTTCCCATTTACTTTTCCACCTACATTGTGTGGTGATGAGGTGAAATTTGGGAGATTAGGGCTTGAGAATTGAAGAGTGGATTTTGGGGATTTGGGTGACCAAATAAGGTCGAATTTTGATAAATTTGGTATGGTTAGACTCGTGAGTGAATGGGCTTTCGAGTTTTGTGACTTTTGTCGGATTTCGAGACGTAGGCCGGGGGGCTGGGTTTGAGTCAATTTCGGATTTTGACTCTATTTTGGTAGTTTCTTGTGGAATTGATCCCTTAAGCCTATATTGATTGTATTGTATTACTTGCAGCTAGATTCGGGACGTTTGGAGGCCGATTCGAGAGACAAAGGCATCGCGGAGTCCGATTTTGCTCGGTTTGAGGTAAAGTAACGCTTTCAAACTTGGTTCTGAGGGTCCGAAACCCCAAATTATGTGTTATGTGATTGGTATTGAGGGGACGCACTTGCCAAGTGATGGGCGTGCAGGCGTGCACCATGAGAATTGTGGCCTAGGTGATTCCATGGAACCTTTTAGTGATTCTATCTTGTTGATATCCATGTTTTCATCATGTGATACTGTAATTGAGCTGTAAATCATGCTAGATATCATGTTTAGGCTTTATACCGGTATTGTTGGGACCCTTAATGGTCGTTTATTGCTGTCATCTCATTATTTTCATTGACATTCCATCTCAGTCTTGTTCATGCATCTTTATATCATATCTCAGTCTCAGTTATTTATTAATTCATCATATCATTTTTCCAGGTTTGTTTTCATGACATTGTTAGCCCGTGGGTAACACTGGAGAGATTGATGACTGAGTGAGGCCGAGAGCCTGAGTATGAGTGACAGTTATGGGATCGTGCTGCACGTCGCATCGGTTATATTGATGATTATGATAGCACTTGGGCCGTAGGAGCCCCTCCGGAGTCAGTAACACACCCCCAATGAACGTGGATGATATTATTTAGAGATGGATTTCCCTGGACATGGATTTGTCCGAAATACTTGATACCTGGAGATAGATCTTCTCCACGGAGTTGGATTGCCCTTTTCCTCGGTATTGGGTAACTTATAGTCAGTGTTGTATATGTTCCGGGATGGATTTTCCCTAGGCCGGATGTCCATATACAGTACCGAGCGGTTGAGCACTTGAGAGTGAGAGTACATGGTGCATTTCATACAGTATATGCATTGGCATGTAGAGATAGTTGAGTTATACCTTACACTGTCCAGATCTGTATTTATTGTATTGCTTTGAGCTGTCTATTTAACTTGAAAGCATGCCTACGTTTATGCATATTTATTTCTGTTATATCTGCTGCGGTTGAGTTCGTCACTACCTTTCAGTCCAAAGTTTGAACTTGTTACTTATTGAGTTGGTGTACTCACGTTACTCCCTGTATCTCGTGTGCAGATCCAGGCGAATCAAATCACGGCGGCGGTGCTGACTGAGATCCCAGAGTTTGGAGATTATCAAGGTAGCTGCACAGCGTTCGCGGGCCTTGACTCTCCTTCTTTATCATTTGATGTATTTTCAGTTGTTTTCTTAAGACATTGTAGTGGATTGTATTCCGAATAGACGCTCATGTACTCAGTGACACCCCGATTTTGGGCTGGATTGTATCGTACTTTGGGATTTGTTTTGTTTTTCAAAAAGGTTTTATTTTATGTTAACTGCTTCCGTCATTATTTCAAGGTTATTTTACTGTGTTGGGTTGTTGAGTTGAGGCTGTCCTAGTTCCACAATAGGCGTCATCACGACGGTTGGTTTGGTTCGTGACGGTAAAAAGTAACTAATTAATATTTTTTTAACAGCTAATAACAATATCTCTATTTTACTAATCTTTTTTGCACACCAATAATATAATTCGGATAAAATATAACAAATTAATTATATAGCAAAACAATCACGAAATAACATAGAACACAGTAAAAACAACTAATAAGCATTTTTAATACATGAGTTTTAACATAAAATAAGTCGGAATACCTCGATTTAAAATTTTTGAAAAGTTGAAGATTTGGTCATTTGGAGCCAAAACAAACAATCCACTAGGAGATAATGCCTTAGATAACGATGTTGGGCCGAGAATCTATACTTTTTGTGGGACCGGTAGGCTCCACTCAAGCTTTTTTTTGGTTAACAATGGTGGTGGGGGGGGGGGGGGGGGACCCTTGTTTCGCTTTTTTTAATTGGGGTGGGGGGAGGGTGGGGGTGGGGAGGACCGTTCTGTTTTGCTGGGGAAGGGGAAGGAACGATTATTTATGTAAGTATAGCGCCTTATGTAAGGGCGTTATACTATAGCGCCTTATTTAAGGACGCTATGCCTTCCCACCCGTTTGAGTTCAAATATAACGCCCTAGCTTAAGGCGCTATACTTTAACGGACAAACGGCCGTTAAGGTATAGCGCCTTAAACTAGGGCGTTAAAATATTTTGGTCACCAATTTTTTTTCTTATACATTTTGATTTTTTGAGTACAAAAGAACCACATTTTGATTTCGGACTCATACGGCATTACCCATAAGGCCAAAACACATTAAAAACGTAATCAACAGAAAAGCAAACGGAAAGAAGGGAATTATATACTCCTATCAGTCCTATGTAGTATCAAGAAAGCACAATATCTGAGTATCATAGTATTAAATACTCAGCTCAATTTTCTGTAGCACACTTTTCCTTTTAGGTATGTCTCGAAAAGATTGTTGGAGCTATTTATATTTGAAACTATTTAATCATATTATTTTATTTTGTCTGACCTGTTATGACTCACCTCATATAAAAGTTTACCTTTTTGAGGAGAGAATTGAAATATAAAATGACAAGTGAAATTATTCTTACCGCTACTTAATTACTGTCGACTATAAGGGCAACTTTAGTACTTTATATACGTATATAATTTCTTTTTTTCATGATACTATTTAGTTTATGTATCAAAAATCTTATTTTGTGGGGGTAAACTCTGACACATTAAAAGAGTAGAAGTTTTATTTTGTTTCTCATACAATTGACACTAGTTGTATGAGCCTCTATTTTGTCTCACAAGTTTGTGGACCCCAATCTTACACTTCTGGTCCACAAAAATCTGGATCCACAAAACTGTGAGACAAAAAGGTTGCTTCATACAACTAGTGTCAGTTGTCTGAGACACAAAATAAATTTTTTCTTAAAAGAGAGGGACTGAAAGTTTTATGGTACTAAAATAAACTTTTTCTCTCTTGTTCGACCTTCACTCTTTTTCTTTCTTTTTTTTTGGTAACAGGAAAACGAAAAATTGGAGATGGCTAAGTGTTAAATTTATTTATGATTTGTGCTATTTATATATTCATGTACATTCAAAGAGCGACAGAAAAAAGAGTGAACAAGCTTTATATTGCAGCTAGCTGCCGTGAACAAAGAGAAATGGGTCCATATATATTCCTTACAATTCCTTTTTATATGTACTAAAAATCATAGTAGCTTTTTTTCTATAAGGACACGATCCGGGTCTCTCGCTCCTTTCATCATCTCTTCCTCCTACTTACCTTTTTTTTTTTTTTTTAATTTAAAATTCAGTATTCGAAATCCACTAACCTCGACTCAGTTCCTCCTTTCTTACTGCTGGCGCTTTTAATTTGTTTTTTAATATTTTGGAAATGGATGATCATGAGTATGGAATGATGGATCTAACACAGTACATAAACGGAAGGCCTCTATCTGCTTCGCCACATCTGCAATCTGATTTTTTATGCAGTAATCAACACTACGAGATGGTAATGGCTAGTAGTAATACTACTGTGCCACAACATGACAACTGTCTTCCTCATCCCGCGGCAGCTGCAACTGCTAGACCTAGTGTTAGTGGCGGTGGCGGCGGGGCCACGTTTAGTACTGCGTCGGAGGTGAAGGGTTGTGGTGGTGGTGGTGCCATGCGCGGAGGTGGTGACGGCGGAAATGGACGGTGGCCCAGGCAAGAGACTCTTACACTACTTGAAGTTAGATCACAACTTGATTCCAAGTTCAAGGAAGCTAATCAGAAAGGTCCCCTCTGGAATGAAGTCTCCAGGTATACCATATATATACCCTCCCACTAAATACTTTAACCTAATTCAACGGATGGAGGTATTCAATCCCCGAGCTTCTGGGCCTTGAGAACTGATTTCGGATTTTGTTACTTGGACAGTGAGTAGCAAAAAATGGGTTGGGTTTAAAGCTTAGATTTTCACCTTCTTAGGCAGACTTATGCTATATCGAGAGGGGTCACCGGCACCCAAAAATTCTATGTATACATGCATATGTTCTTAGAAAATAGTGATATATTTGTAGTGGGCACCCTATATGTAAAACAGATTTTTGTTGAATCCAAAAGTGCAATCCGACCTTCAAATCCTAGCTAGTTCACCTCTGCTTTCACGCCCCAGCTTGTGAAGCTACCTGAAATTTCCCTCATTAGCCAAAGGCGGAACCAGCTCCTCCCGAACCATCCTCAAAAGTGTATAAAAGGAGAAACATTAAATTGCACGCGTAAAAATTATGTGATAATCTCATCTAAAAAATTAAGCTGGTAGAGAGAAAGCAACACTTGTGTTAATTATCTATGTCGTCTCAACAAATTCAACAGATAGCCAACGTCTCTATTTTACTTCTTCCTCCCTTTTTTTGTGATATATTTAGTTGTATTAAAGTTGTCATCAATTTTATTTTGTTTTTGTCTTTTCTTGTTTTTGGGGTGGGGTGTTAAGTTGTTTCTTGATGGGAAATTAAATACTCAATTTTCACAGTACTGTTCACAACAAGAGTTGCTTTTATGTAAGGTTTTCTGGATAGGCAGCAATTGTAAGCAACCTAGCTTATCAGTGAATTAATTGGTTACTATTTGTGTGTTAGAAAATGACAGTTCAGTTGGAGAATCAGGTGTTATTTTCATCTTTATTTCGTCACTTCTGCTGTTTCATTTCCTCTCTTTCTGATCATCACATAAATTAAGAATGAGTAGCTGGCTTTATTCAAAAGACTTTTTAATTACTTCCTTTTAGCTAGAAGAATGGCAGGATTCTTTTGGATGTCAAGTACTTATTTGCTACATCCATCATTATCACTTGAAGTTGTTGCCTGTTGGACTGACCATTTAACCATTTAATCTAGGGTTCCTTGTATTCCATTTTATATGATTCTCTTTTCTATTCTGTTCTGGAAAAAAAATTAAACGTTTCTATATTTTGTAAACTCTTTAACATTAGATTTCTCATTTTACCCTTAATGTCATGTTTTAAAGATCATAGAAATGTCATGACATGTTTAAAACCCCAAGTTTCTAAGTGTGCTTTTGACAGAGGCATATGCACCTTATATCATGCGGTGTCACGGGACACCGCTTAATTTATCAAAAAATTTCAATAGATATTTATATGAAAAAATAAAAATATTGGGGATACGTAGAGAAAATGACACCGCTTGTCATTATAGTGATTTATTCTTTGTCCATTTCTTCAAATTATGTCACCATTTATATAAAAACCTGTGTATGCCACTGGCTTTTGGTAAGTGTCAAAAGTCAGTCTTTCTTTATTAAATTTGTGTCCAATCAAACACCAATATATGAAATGAAACTAATGGAGTATTATGTAGGTATACACCTTAATTAATACCCTATAATCTTCTAATGCTTTCCTCTTTCTCCTCCAATTTTAGGATTATGTCTGAGGAACATGGATATCAAAGGAGTGGGAAGAAGTGCAGGGAGAAATTTGAGAACTTATACAAATACTACAAGAAGACTAAAGAAGGAAAAGCTGGAAGACAAGATGGTAAACATTATAGATACTTTAGACAACTTGAAGCTCTTTATGGTAAAACAAGCGATACAATCTCAATATCAGAAACCAACAATATTGGAAGCAGTAATTTTCACTACAATAATCCCATAAACAACAACAATCAAGAAGCTCATAATTTTCATCGTCGGGGTCCTAAGCTCTCTGATAGTCTTATCAGTCCCTCTGATTCCTCTGATTCTGATCGTGCTACTTCATCTGATGATAGCGAACTCAAAATGGACGATGATTCAAAAGAAAAGAGGAAGAAGAAAAGAGGAAAAAGGAGTTGGAAAGGTAAGATAAAAGACTTTGTGGACATACAAATGAAGGAGTTAATAGAGAAACAAGAAGCTTGGTTAGAGAAAGTGATGAAGACAATTGAACACAAGGAACAAGAGAGGATTTTAAGGGAAGAAGAATGGAGGAAACAAGAGTCAATTAGGATAGAAAAAGAGCAACAATTTTGGGCTGGTGAAAGAGCATGGATTGAAGCTCGTGATGCTGCTTTAATCGATGCACTGCATAAATTAAGTGGAAATCAAGAACTGATCATCAAGAGTAATAAAAATGCTTCAATATGTAAAGACATGAATTGGGATGGCATAAATGGATACCTAATCAAAAGCAACAAGAAACAAAAAGAGAATTACTTGAGCTCATATTATAATTTCAAGAACAATGAAGAAGGGAGATCATATTGTGAAACATCAAGACATGTACCAAATGTTCAAGTAATGGATCCTGGGATGTTTTAGGTAAGTGGTTAATTTAATTAAGTTTGATTATGGTATTTTTGTTTTATTGAGGTGCTAACTGGTATGTGGAATATTTAGGGATTATTGAAGTTAACTGATCCTAGAAGATGAGGTTTAATTGGGTCGATATTTATCTTCATTTTTAATTATTTCCAGATATTCTTTTGAGATTTAATTTCTTTATCTTAATGTTGGTCTGAGACTGTGATATGATGTGCTTTTTCCTTCATTTTTTGTCAATTAGCTGGTTTCCACCTAGCTTCAACTTGTCTTGGATAATCATATAGCTAATCATCTCCTAGTTGCTTTTTGTTCTGTAAGAATGAACTAATTTTATTGATGAGTCTTTTTGAGTATAATTTTACGTATTCCCTTGATTCTTTTCTCTAACACTTCCGAGGGCTTAAGCAGCATATTTCTCGAATGCGGACCTATATATTTGATCTCCATGAAAAAATGTTGTAATATTGTGGAACTTCTCGAACTGTCTGATTGTCAAGAAGTGTTCCGGTCATATCTTGATCTCTTTGTGAAGATTCTATGAATTTATGGAATTTTGAGATAGTTGCTTTGTTTTGATGTTAGGTTAATATATGGATCTCTTGTATATTTAACTGGTTAGTGAGATATCTGAGTTCGTTCGCTCTATCATAAACTAAAACCTTAAACCTTTCTTCACATTAGTCCTTTATGCAATTTTAAATATTTGTTACGTTAAAATGTGTAAATCAGACATGAAATTCTTCTATTTTCTTCTTTTGTTCCCCCATACGGGATTGGGTTTGGTATTGAGTATCTAACTATATATAGATCAGAGCCATTATTTAATATTCTTTTGTGAACTAATTATGTTTCTTAAACCATTTTGGTGCAAAAAAGAAGTTAAATATATAAACAAGTTAGAAGACTCATGAATATACACAACAAGCATGAAATGACATTTTCGCATTTTCTAAAATTTCGTTGGTGCTTTGTAGCTAAATGTAGCAAACCATAAAGTTGAGCTCAAATTATATATTTCTGATCAGCTTTTGGTGAAGTTCTTCAATACAGCCTGGGAGCTTTCATCATATGCTTCTTTTAATATTATTTATTGTATTATATTTTGTTCTACTAGCATTTATCACTTTTCTTTTAAATGAGAACCATCTTCAAGCAATTTTTTCACTTATTTATTTGATTAGGTAATGATGTTGAAGTCTTAACGATTTTAGTTTAGTTTGATGGTAAAAGTAGCAAACCTTCACGTCTCTTTTGAAAACCTCAAGCATATTAATGAGGTTCTGTTTCTTTTTTCTAACTGTTTTTTGCCTAAACTACTTTCCTTAAGCTTGTGTAGATACTAGATGATACGCAAATGTTAACACCTGCCTCACTTGGCACTTGGCAATATATATATTTACATGTAGAATGCATTCTTCAGTTTTTCTTTAAGTAAAAAAAAGCTAGCTCTGCAAGGCTCGTAGGTAAGCCTGAAAATGGAGTTGTCATTTAAGGTTAGGATTTCCAAGTTGGATAATGAGGTGAAGACTAGACAAATAGTACTTTTGTTTTCTCAGTTACTTGTCAAATCAATGGCATCACCCATGCATAAATTAAAATTTCTTTCTTTTTTCTTTATAATTGATCACACATGGCAACCCAATGCATAATTAAGGCATGCAGGATCGGAAGAAGGGTCGCACCCCAAGTGAGTGTGATGTAGACAACCTACCCTAATGCAAGTATTAGTGACTTCTTCACGGCTCGAACCTATGACCTATAGGTCACACGAGACAACTTTAATGTTGCTTCAAGACTCCCGTTCCCATAATTTGATCGCACATAATGATTTTCACAGTTGTATGGAGAGTGGTTTAAATAACTTATTCCCAATGAGGGTAGATTGTTTGGGAAATTTTAGAAAACATTGGAACTTGGAAGTAACAAAAGCGAGGGGCTGAAAAAGAGAGAATAGAATTCATGAAACAAGAAAGAAATAGAGAATAAAGCTGCGAAACTAATTGATCAGCTTTGCCATTTGTAGTTCTTTGTGTTCAGTGGGGAAGCTTCCTTTACTCTCAATGAATATATATATATGGCAGTCTCAAGTCTGCTGCTATCAGTAGTTCAGTACTATTACTACAAGACAGTTCGAAAAACCCTCTAATGCATAGTTCTGACTAAGGAACGTCTGCAAACTTTAATTTCCCACACTATTCATCTTATGTTTCTCAAATACTAAATGTGTTCTCTTTCTCCTTTTCTCGAACATACATACGGAGTATAACTTAAATTCACATTCTTTTGTTGTTAAATGGTTTCTGAAGTAAAGCATTAATCTAAACACATTAGATAGGGCAAACAACAACGAACCCAGTGTATTCCTATAAGAGGGGAACTTACTTGTTCTTCGTATCGGAAGCGGAAGGCGGATGAACCGCGGCTGGAATTACTGCTCGGTGCTAGTTGTCACACTTTGAGCCCGTTTGAATTGGCTTATTTTAAGTGCTTTTAAGTCAGTTTGTAGTGTTTGGATAAAGTAAAAAAATGCTTGTAAGCACTTGTTTTTAAGCCAAAAGCCAAAAACTAAAATTCCTAACTTATGGCTTATGCTTAAAAGTCACTTAAGATAAGCCCATCCAAACAGGCTTTGTATTGGATCAACTCCTAAGTCACAGTCTAAACCCGAGATTAATTGAAAAGAGAAAAGATCAGTGTACTGTGAAGTACACCATATGTGTACTTATATAGGGATAGCTGGGCTTTGCCCTAGTAGGTCCTAAGAGCACACTTTATGGGTGGACGCTATTTCCTACAGTTCCACACTACATTGGTGATTGTATGGATCAAAATCAGACTAAGGGAATTTGGCACGAGGAGATATTATTAGAAGTGGTCAGGCCGAGGTCAATAACGATTAATGGATCTAACCGCCGAGCAGTCGGTTATGGCCGAGGTCAAACGTTTAAAGTAACAATAACGACTAGTTTTGTAATAGGATATTTGGGAGAATATTCCATTGAATATTCTCTGTACTTGTACTTTTAGGTCAGATTAGGAGCATGTCACATATAAAGAGAAAGGGAGAGAGAAGGTAAGGGGCATGTATTATGTATTCTGATAAGAACTCTCTCGAAAACTTGACTCTCTAGATAAATACAAATACTACCTTTCTAAAGAGATTCGACTTGTTGTTTATTCTACACTTTTCACATCAGATCCGAGAAAGTATACAATATTCGCATAGTTATTTGTCTCACATCATTGTCAGAAAGAGGAATCATCCACCTCATTCAATATTGGGTGAATCATTCTCTTTATTTACATTTAGTGCCATTTATTATTATTTAATGCTTGTTATTCTCACTCCATCATTAACCATGAACATTTGATGCATATTGCATTAAATTCGTTCTAACACTGTCGCGCTTTATCCACGTAGACCGATTTCAGATATAAAGTCGTTTAACTTTAACTAGGATTAATTCCTTATCTTTTTACTTAATTAATTTAACCAAAGATTCATCTAGATTAAAATTTTCTAGTTAAAATTTTAGTTTCTTCTAGATCTATAACCAACCAAAAAAAATAAGCAAAACCCTACACTTTCTTGTGCACAGAGATCTAACATGGCAGGTAACGGAGAAGAAAGGAGGAAGGCAGTAGCCGACCTCACCGCCAACCTCCTTAACACCATGAACGATGTCTCCTAAACGGAGGGTGAGGATATAACACTAAATACCTCTCCCAGGAAGAACGGCTCACCCCCTCCTCATGGTAGCATCACAGCGTCCCACGGTAAAGGAGCCTCCACGTCCACAACGGAAGAGGTGCCACCAGTGGTGAAAAAACTGCTCGAAGCTTGGCTATCGAATACTTTGACCAGCATCCTTAAAAAACCCGCTCCAAAGGCAACCGGAGGGAACAAGAACCTGCATTGCACCAGCAGCAGTCGAACAACACGACCCCCCTCCGCTTGCAACAAGTATCACTCACAATGTTAATGCGCAGTTAATGACGCGACCAACTTAAGGAAAATGGAAGAGATGGATAGCGAAAACAAAATGCTCCAAGATCAAATGAAAAAACATCAAGAGAGGGTAGACAAAATACCGGGCGCCCCAAAACTCTTGCCAAACAGAGACGCCATCCAGTTCATTGAACAATCGTATAGTGACGAAGCCGTACAGCATATCATACCTAAAACCTTCAAAATCCCTCCGTACCTAAAAATATACAATGGCACGACAGACCCTGAGGATCATGTGACTCACTATATCACCGCAGTAAAGGTAATGACCTCGCCAAAGAGCAAGTACCCTCCATCTTATTGAAAAAGTTTGGCGAAAAGTTAACTTGGTAGTCACAGATACCTGCGCGCTCAATTAAAATATTCAAGGAGATGGCCGACAAGTTTGTGACGGCCTATGCCGGAGCCAAGAAGGCAGAGGCAAAAGTAAATGATATACTTGCCATCAAACAATCACCCGGAGAGGGACTGAGGGACTTCCTTGCAAAAAAGATTCAACCGCGTAAGGATGACCTTACCAGACGTATTGGAAGGAATGGCTGTGGCAGCTTTCCAGAATGGGTTGAACAGAAGCAGTTCAAGGGCGACCAGAAAGCTACTGAGTCGGTTCATAAAATATCCCCCAACCACTTGGGACGAAATACACAATGCCTTTTGCGTCGAAGTTCGAGCTGACGAAGACGACCTAAATGTCCCAACCCAACAGCTGACCTCGGTACAAGACGAGTCCAGAAAGGATCGGAGAAATGACAACAGAAGAGATCTAGCAGGTCCCCGACCCAACCGACAAAGACATCAACCATACGTCAGAGGCGGCCTCATGCCGCCTTCCCGCCACGACGAAGGCCCATCCAGGCCAAGAACAGGGACTCACCGAAACGAGAGCGGTATGCCCCCTTATTATCTGCTCACAATTTTCATGTTTCGCCTTTTGAAATGGTCTACGCATTGGAGAAGCTCGACCCAAAAGTGAAGTGGCCACAGAAGATAAGGTCTGACCCCAGCACCAGGAAGTCAAACGTCCTCTGTGAATTCCATCAGGAACGAGGTCATAAGACTGAGGACTGCATCGCTCTATGACCAGAGGTCGTGAACATGCTTCATTAGGGACACTTGAAAGAGCTGATGAGCGATCGAGGAAGAGCCAACTTCACTCGAGGACATGAACAGCACCAGGGCCCACCAAAA